GCTCTACTATCAGGGTGATACTTATATATTTTGGAAGCATTTAAGAAGAATTGATATTAATTCTTCTTTGACTATTTTATAGCATTCATTAATGAAGTCATCTGGTCTATTGAAAAAATGACACTGTATTCTGCAAGAACACATATAAGAAAAATATTAAATACATTAGGAGAATTACCTGGAGAACGGGAGAAATGAGAATGATCTATAGAAATTTAAAAAGGAATAATATTTTAAGTACCAGAGCTTGCATGTATCAAGGATGATGTTGAGTTAAAAACTGAGACGTGTGCACAACCCCACCGGAGGTTAGAAAAGGAGAAGAGGAAGGGGAAAGAGAGAGGAGAAAGAAGTGAGAGGAAAAAAAGTTGGTGACGTCAAAAGTACCCCACTCATCAACTTTGCTGGTACTATTGATGCCTTTATTCTTATGAACTCCTGCCCTGGGGAAGATGGGAGGACGGTCCCAGGCTTGTTGAGTGACTTGTGACCATGGCCATTGACTATGAGTGGCTGAGTTTAAGTTATACTATTTTTGGGGGGTGGTAAAATAGGTTGCACTATGTAGTCCAGGCTGTCCTTGAACTCAGAGGACCCCTCCTGCCTCAGCCTCTTGAGTGCTGGGATTACAGGCATGCACCACCACCATGCCTGTAATACTTTCTTTTTTTTTTTTAACAAAATGACAAGTATTTCAAATTTGCTGATATGTTCTACAATGACAAGTAGCTCTGAGGAATGTATAATCCAGCAGACAATTTCAAAAGACTCAACATATCAATCTGTCTTGTAGAGATTCCGCTTTTAATACAAATGAGAAAGTAGTCACTTATCCAGAGAAACTCCTGCTGGAGCATTTTTGGAACATTTTTCATGATTATATCACTCCCCCCCAATCACATTTAAATGTATCACCTTTAAAAGTGCTCATACCTTCATGTCTGAGATCTTGGAAATAAACCAAGTCAACCACTTACAAAATCTTTCTAGTAAAATGCTGTAGCAGGCCTTCCACCCACTTGTTAAATATATCAAAAGGAAGCACCTTCCAAACCATTTGTAAGAACAGTATCTAGGTCAGGCGGCATGAAAATTTACCAGCCAGATGTTGACAAAAATCACTGCAGTCATGGCCAACATGACTGGAAACCAGTGCCAGACACAGTGGCTCACGCTTGTAATCCCAGCACGTGGGAGGCTGAGGCAGGAGGATCGTTGCAAGTTTGAGGCCAGCCTGGGCTACGTAAATGAGTTCAAGGTCAGCCTGAACTGACAGTGAGACCCTGTCTCAAAAAGACAAAAAAAAAAAAAAGACTGGAAACCACAGAGCACTGGCTTCCTCCACACACAGCCACAAAACTTGGTACGGAATATTTTTCAATTAGGATAGCTTTTCAGCCCATGCATTAAAACCTACCGAACCTTATGATCAGATCCTTAAATTGTGATACCAAAAATGTTAGTCTGTAAAACAGAAAGACGTATACTCAGTCCTTCATGATGATTAAAAATATTAATATAGGGGCTGGGGATTTAGCTCAGTGGCAAAAGCGCCTGCCTGGCAAGCGCAAGGTCATGAGTTTGGTTCCTGGTACCGGAGAAAAACCAAAAAATAATAATAATAATAATATATAGAAAATGTTTTAATGATAAAAGGATTTTTGTAACTGTTAGCACATTTGAAATTAAAAACACATTTTGAAACATTCACTGCATGTCCTCTTTCTTTATTTTACCCTTATTAATTTCTGCTTGTCTTATGTTGGGCATGATATATCTGTGCAGTGCAAATCTTTTAACTGATAGGGGTGGTGAGATCAACTCTTTGGTGGTTGTATCAGTTTTCTATTGCTGCTATAACAAGTTGCCATACATTTGTGGCTTAACATGATACATAGTTACTTTATACTTCAAGAGCTCAGAAATCCTAAAATCCAGGGGTGAGCAGGGTGAGAAGGAGTACACCCTTCTAGAAGCTCCAGGGCAGGATCACTTTCTTGCCTTTTCGGCTTCTGAGGCCACTCACATTCCTTGGCTACAGATCCTATATCCACTCCCATGTCCTCTGCATCTGACTCCCCCGCAAGGTCCCTGTGGTTACATCAGCCATCTGGATAAAGCGAAATAACCTCCCCTTGCAAGGTCTTTAACTCAGTCACATCTGCAAATCCCTTTTGCCTCCTAAGGCAGCATATTTACAAGTCCTAGAGAAGGCCATGGGCATCTTTAGGGGACCCTTGTGCTCCCTGCCACAAAGACCTTGGGTAAACACCATAAAACTGACTCAAAGAAGAAAATCATCCTGTGTTTGTCAGAGTGGGTGTGTGGAGCCCCTAAGTCTCCAAGAGTTCACTTCCTGGCCTATGCTTTGAAGGCCAGCTGGACGTCAACTTCAGCTAATGCAGGTAGCATTTCATCTGTCACATTTCCATCCTTTTGGTTAACAGTTGTAAAACTCCACTGGTTAGGTAACAGGACAGGGGTTGTTATTTCCTTTGTTTTCTGTTGAGCCAGCTGGAGCAATGTCCAGACCTTGTCTTAGCACTTACCATAACCCTGTGTGAGCTGACCCAGTTTCCTAGCTCCTCCGATCCTGAGTTACCCCTTTCTTAAAACAGAGGCGCCTAGCCAGACTTTGTAGGGTGGCTGAGGGTCTGAGGCTACAGCATAGAATTGTTTACAAGGAGGCTGCTGGAGGGTATCAGTTTCTATTCCTCTTCCTGTTAAAGCCCCCATCTATTGGCTCCTCTGAGCCTCATCCTTAAAGATGCAGAGACAAGAGAGCAGATGGAGTCCAAGAGTGAGCACTGCTTTGCAATAATTTCTCATTTCCCCTGGGGATGAAGAAACATACAGCTTCTTCCACGGTGTCCTCAAAGGAGCAAAGCCAATGAAGCAAACCAATGCGGAGCGACAAGCATGCTCCGTGTGACAGAAGGTGTCGAAGTTAACTCCCTCAACCCTTTCAAGAGAAAGCTCTTAGTCATTTCACACTACTCATCTTGCAATTTCCCACACCCGCAGTGGGTGCCCCAAAGCAACCAGCATTTTGTGTGCCAATACCTGGATTCTTATCAGAGAACTCCAAGAGACTCCCTCTCCCGTCTCCCTCTCCAGGAGGACATCTTCGCAGAGGGCCAGCTTCATTTTCCTGCTCTGAAAGGGCCTGTCAAACAAAGCCCACTTTTCTGCCAAAGGGTTTTTGGTTCTTGGATGGTATTTTCGGTTTTGTATTTTCTTTTTCCTTCTATGCAACAATATCCCCCTCTGCTGGAATTTGTGCATCTTGTACAAAGTTTTATGAAGAAGAAGTAAAAATTGAGCCCGAGATACCTTTGGCATATAAACCGAGGGCTCTTCAACTTTCCTATGTGTAAGAATGTTGGAAGATGATGTGGGTTTTTTTCTTTAATGGAGACTTGCTTAACCTGTGCCCATTTCCTAAGGTTTAAAATGAGTCTGAAGCCGAGCCCAGATCTACATCCAAAGCTCGATCAAGTCACCCTGACCCTGTTTATCTTGGAGTCAATGCATGTGGGCATCCTGGGAGAGCCTTGCTGAATTCTAAGTGAAGGGGAAAACGTGGAGACCAGGAATGGAGGTACCGAAAAGGAGGCTCATCCCCCAAGCTCTCCCTCTGAGATTTAGTGGGAAAGAAGAACAGTTTTTAAGTTTAAAAAAAAAAAAAAAACCTAGATCTTGAAGGCAGAAGAGACAGTGAAAACAATGGCAAAATAATAATTATTATTATATTCCTTTCCCAGCACTGCTATAAAAGCAATTGATTGCACTTGTGAAAGTGCAAAACAACAGCAATGCCAGGTGCATACACACCTATAATCCAGGTCTTGCTGGCTCCAAATCAACATCATGACCCATGTCAGGACACCAGGCGGGCCAAGGAGAAGTGAGGGTGACTTCTCTGTCCTTGACATCACTTTGTACATCTCTACAGTTGTTTAGACTGTGGCCAGGAGCTAGTACCTCATGTCAGTTCTGTCTGTTTGTTTTATCTGAAAGGTTTTTTCAGTACTAGGGATTGAACCCAGGAGTGCTCTGAGCTACATCCTCAGCTCTTCTTATTTTATGTTTTTAAATTTTGAGACAGGGTCTCACTAAGTTGCCCAGGCTGTCCTCAAAGTTGTGATCTTCCTGCCTCAGCCTCTTTAGTAGCTGGAATTACCAGTGTGTGCCACCATACCCAGTAATAATTTTGAGTCTCATAGTTTGAATTCCAGACCTCAGAATCACCTCTACTTCTCTGATCAACAAATATATGGAGCATGTCTTAGAATGGATTTTCATCACAATTTAGTTAGAAAAGATTTCGATCACTACACACATCTTTCCAGGCAGCTCAGAACTGGCCAGAATCCACACCACAGGTGGACAGCAGCGCAGTTTCAGCGTGGGCAGAGCGCCTCCTGCATACTCAGCACTCGCAGCACAGCAAAGTTACCTGCACTTGTGAAAGAAGAGATCCCAACCGGCTACCACTCACGACCCACCTGGCACCTGTGTCCCTCATCGACTGCTGTGTACCACGTCAGCCAAGGCCCAGGGACGTCAAATGGCTCTTGCAGGAATTCTTGGGGGGTCGGGAACCAGGAAGGGCTCAACGGGCAGAACCAGCTGTGGACCTGTCTAGTTCCGGTCCAGTCTGGGCCGGAAGGGAATAGCAGAGTTGGAGCTGCTGATGGTGGCTGATATTCCAGCCAACACTGTGGAAGCTGCTGGCTTTGTCCCCTGATTCGCTTGTGACTTTGGGTAACTTACGTGACCTCACTGAACCTCATCTTCTCGTCCATAAACTGGAGAGAATAAATTCCCTCCTTCATGGGGTTGTTCTGAGCACTAAATGGGATCATATATGAGAAAGCCTGGCCTTGCCTGGTGTGTAGTGAGTGCTCAGAGGGCTCGTACTGGACAGCAGGAAAACCAGACCCACCCAAGAGTGCTTAGTGGAAGATGCAGGTGACCTTCTGCACCAGCACAGAGGGAGCATGTCCCATATGATAGGGACTGAGCCCCATCAAACAAGTTCCCAACTACTTGGGGTGTAGGACACTGAGAATGAACAGTATTTCATATAGTTACTAAGGCAGAAAACGCACGCTTCTGTAATCATCCCAAGCCACAGTTCCAGCGCTCTGAGTTCTACAGAGCCGGGATTGAGCTGAGCTCCTCCACCTAACACGCCCCAGAGGTCCGGGCCCTGAACCACATCTAAAAAGGGAAGAACTTAGCTTCCTGGAAGATGTAGAAATTCACACCCTCTTAAGATACTAGATAAATACAGGCTCTTTTTATTCACCCAAAGTAGAAATGGGAAAAAATATGGCTTGTTCTTGTTAAAAGTCCTAACTTGTAATTTAAAAGCAGTCCAAGCAATTCAAGAATATATTTAAGAGACAGTTTTTTTAAGCTATCACCCCCAAAATGACTACTATGAATGTTTGGGGGGAATTTTTTAGAATGCTTTATTTTTAATAAAAATAGGATCATATTACAGTGTTTTGTAACCAGGTTTTATTCCCACGGCAACATCTGGTTGCCAGCTGGATGGGGGCTGACGCCACATCCTGGGGTGTTGACGTGGGAACTGGAATTCTGAGGGGCACTGGGCACTGGGCACTGGGCACTGCCCTCCTTGCCCTGTGAATGAGCACCCTGTTCGAGCCTCTGCTGTCCTTGGGGGTGTGGCTGGAGGTCCAGCACCACCCTGTGTCCCTGGAAATGCCTGGTTGTGTGACCCTGACACCCAGCCCAGCCCAGTCATCCTGCCCCTGTCTGTTCAGTCAGCATGACCTCTCCAGGGTCTCTCCTTGGCCTCTGTACCCTCCTACCTTACACACCCTCTTCCTCCCCTTCTTCCTCCTCCTCTTCCTCCTCTCCTCCCCCTCATCCTCAGCTGATGGGTGCTACAGCTCCCCTACTTCCCCACAAGATAGACTAACATTCAGAGTCCTCAGTCCTCAGCACCTGCCAAGCACTCTACCCATCATGTCCACTTTTTACCACTGTGACAAGTACCTCAGGAGAGCAACTTACAAGGAGAAAACGTTTCTGTTGGCTCATGGCTTCAGAGGGCTCAGTACATGGTCACTTAGCCCTGTAACTTTGGCCTGTGGTGGGGCAGAAGTGCCTGGCAGAGAAAACCGCTCACTTCCTGGCAATAAGGAAGCAAAAAGAGAGAGGAGAGGGTCCCAGCATCCCCATCAAGAGCACACTCCCAGTGACCTAGTTTCCTTCCTCTAGGCACAACCTCCTCAAGGTACTGTCCCCTCCCAGGGGTGCTGTAGGCTGGGGACCAAGCCTCCTACACATGGGCCTTTGGACATCAGCCCAAATCCAAGATGGAGCATGATTTCAGTCAGTTCCCACAGCTGCTCTCTGAGGGGGCACTGTCACCACCACGCCCATTTACACATGAGGAAGTTGAGGCTGGAGAGGGTAAATGGCTTGCCTACAGTTACAGCAAGCAAGGAGCGGGTCCAGGACTGAACACAGGGAGGAGGGAAGGCTTCGGGTCTCTGCCTTGGCCGCTGGACCCTGCCCCATGTGACAGAGCCAGAGGCGAGATGGAGATAGACAGGGCATTCTCACACTTCTCCTCCTGTCACTAAAATGCCAACCTACACGAAAGAGTTTCTGCTTTCTGATGAAGACGCTAAAGCTCAGAGAGGTTAGCTAATCCGTCTGGAGACTCTCAGCTGAAAAGCCACCGTGCCAGCGTCTGGACCCTCACTGCCGGGGCAGCCAGGTGCTACAGGTAACGCCTGCTTGCCCACATGGTGGGCCTGCAGGTCTTGCCAGAAGCCACACAGGCTCCGCAGAGTGCTGCGTGAACTCTGCAGCCAGACTTCCTGGGCAGCCCTGAACAAGGTGCCTGGCCTCTCTGTGCCTCCGTGGCTGTACAGGTTGAGAACTGCAGGTGAGAACAGCGCCGGCCTGGGGAGTCACAAGCGAGGTTAATTAAGGGCCCAGTTCGCAGGAAGCAGCTAAGAGTTCCAGGGGAACATGGCTCCGGGGCTTTCCGCCTGCGGGCCTGGTCAGAGGCCGATGCTCTGCAGAGCGGCTTCAGTCCTCTCTCCTGGTTCTCTATTTCCTTCCCACACGGGTCATCCAGGACGTCCCCCACTCAGCGATGAGCAGCCTTCATTAGCTCCCCTCTGCCACATCGCCAGACACAGTCTCAGGCTCCAGAGGACATCATTCCGCGGACCACAGGGGGCACCTGGGAGCCCCTTCACCCAGAGCGACAGGAAGATGACAGCACCCTGAGGGGCGGGGAAGTCCATGTTAGGGACCAGGGAGGGGGACAGAACGGTAAGACCAAAAGAACCAGGAAAGTAGCTCCAGTTTCGTGAGAAATTTTATCCTATTTGGTCTTTTTAAGTAATTTGGGCAATTCAAGCAAAGAAAAAAATTGGTTAGCAGGAAGTATTTCCTACTGTGTAAGTGAAAAGGGTGCAAAAAAAATTAGAAGCTGTAAATACTCCAACATGGCCAAGTGATTAAGAAATTAGGGTGCATCAACTCAGTTGAATGTTACGCAGCTATGAGAAAGGGTAATTACGAGGGTGACCTAGAAACGGAAATGCGGTCTGATGGCAAGTGAAAGGCACAGGAAATAAACAGCGTAAACAGTGATTACAACTCCCAGACATGTGTTGGCCTGTGGGCAAATACTGGAAGGACTTGCAGAAAAAAATGTGGGGATTTAAATGCTAAGATCATGTTTTGTGTTGTTTTCTCTTTCTTTGGTTTTTCTCTAATGCTACATTTTTATACTTCAACATCTTTTGGTACATTGCCCAGCGCCTCTCGCTTAAATACTGGGTCCCCACCCAAAAGGGTGATCTCCAGCAATCCCAACCGCTTGGCTCTGTGTGCCCCATGTCCCAGCCTGGCCCCTGGTACCTGATCCAAGCTGGACTGATCAGATTCTCTCTACTGAGTCTTTGGAATTGCACTAGACATGCTAACAACCTCTGAGGTCATTTTTTAAAGAGAAAACTAATGTAACATGAAATTCACCATTTTAAAGTTTTCAATTCAGTGGATTTTAGGATATTCACAATACCATACAATCATCGCCACTATCTAATTCCAGAATACTGTAATTAACCCACAATACTGAAATCCCTTATTAGCAGCCACTCCCCGCTCC